TTCGCAATCCTGTAACATTTACACAACAACCGACCACAACGATTGTTTGCCTGAGCAAATCAGTGTTTCAACATAACAATTGTGTTGCAAACCTTTTGCTACGTTCGACGACTTTCGATCTGTCCAGCTTGTGGGCAGTGCTTAAGGCCAGCTGCATCAGAAACGGCGACACGGAGGTCGCAAAGAGTGCCTACAGAGTGTTTATGCGTAGGACAGCAAAAAGTAATGCACCCACATGCACCAAGAGATGGCTGGGACCGTAGCGAAACAGAACATGCGAAGGTGGGAGGCTGAGAAAAAAAACAGGACACTGAAATGAGATGGACGAAACTAAATCGAATCCTTCAGCTGGGGGAAGAAGGGCCTCAAGCTTGCAAGCTTCATGCCGCTGAGTTTGACGTCTTATTTCGCGTGCACGTGCATTTCTTGCCTTACATCCCAATCCCCAACCTTCAACAATCTCCGCAACGTTGGACCTTAAATGTTGCCACAGATCCAAGTCTGGGTTTACTTCTGTTTGCACATGAAGAACGCGGGACGTGCGCAAGGCCAAGTTTCGTTTCAAATTGAAGGGTGTTTCGCGTGCCAAGTACGTGCATAGAAACTCCGACCTCTTGTAAACCCAAGTTCACTCAAAGCCTCATATTCTTGTCAGTTTGGCACATGCTCTGCATCTCTTGACCACAGACGCTTCCGTCCGAATTTTGGGTTCGAAACCATGAAACTCCTATGCCTCACTGCCCAACCCCCCGCAAAACATGCTTAATAAGGCTTCCACCTATGCCGCGCACCAAAACAAAATACAGGCAAACGAGCTTGAAACGTTCAAACCGGCAGCAGAACTTTGCCTACACACATGTTCAAGTATTCTTGAACTCGACCCTACCATCGAACTGTGTTGGTAGGCTCGGTATGGGTATCGGGCTGAACTTGACACGACATTTCACATCATCGACTTGGTTTTCAAGCTGGTGATGACACCGACGTAAAACGTCAATCCCATCGCGAGCTGAAAACAAACTGTTTTGGCACGGATGCGGCCAGTTACATAGCATCACAGATAACATTGTTCAGCTTCAGCTGCACAAAGAAACTACGGAACCATCCTTGCAAAGAAGTTTGCCACAAACTCTCCCTTTGATTTCGTAACATTGAGTCCTAAGCAATGTGCCCCAAAACCATATACTCCACATGGAATTGCGTGCTTGAGGCGATAAAACGTTTGTTGGTTAGACTTTTTACCTCGCGAGATATTGAGGCGCCGCGAATGGCAACATCCATGTTGTTTTTTCATTACTGTCTTGGGTGGCGGGCTTTGTGGGCCGTGGTCTTTCCGACCTTGCGAACCCAATGTAGTATATAGCTTGATATCCCTCGAAAGAATCCAGAGATGGTCCAAGGGAGACTTCGGGTTATGATGTACAGAAAGGTTAGAATCGGTTAGAAAAGTTCAATTCACATTACAGGGTCTGAGGCCTGTGTGCAAGTACATCAACCCTCCTGTATGTTATGTAGGGTTCAACACCTTAAAACTCCCAACCCCATTACGAAGACGCTCTATGAATCAGGTGCGAGCTATGTGTCGTCTCGTCTTCTTCAACGCCCACCCTAAAACCCCAAACCTCAAACCGACCCTAAACGCCCTTAACCGCAACATCCAAGGCCCAAGCTTGATGAAACTCGGAAGGGCTGCACTGAGCCACCCACATGCCCCCGCAACTACTAGCATGAACGAGTCCGAGAACGAATACTGATCTACTGATACTAATTCCATAGCGCTAGCGCTAACACAAACTCCAGATGTTTAAAACCCTGCGGCTAAAACTAGCATGAATGCCTATACTGGCACAAGCCTTGACACTAACACTGACACTAACATCGAGACTAAACCACAACTGAGGCCACGACTGAGACTGCGACCGCGACTAAGACGAGGCTAAGGCCAATGAATGCTTAAAGTAAGCAGTAAAACAGACATCGCTTTTGTGGGATTCATGCGAAGGCCGGGCTTTAGGTGGCTACTCTCGCGATTCTTATCCTATGCTTGCATTGGGATGTATGGGGTGCTTGCAGGATCGAAATTGTTGCCTAATGTTCATAAGCTATGTACCCTGAATGATCTTGCCTAAATCCGAAATACCTTAAAGTGAAGCAACAAGATCACTTATAGGGTGAGAGCTGTCGGCTACTCGAGACACTGGGCTCCCCACTTAGTCAGCTCCTCCAACTCCTTCGCAGGGCCGTGCTCTTAAGGATGTTTATCGCTAGAGAGGTCCCAAATTGGTTCTACCAGGGATGAGCTTTTTGTTTATGAGGTTCCCACCTCATGCATCCAGGGCTTTGTGCTAGGTTGACCTGTAGCGCTCGCTTTTAACTGGGCCTTCAAACTTAGAATTGGGGAGAGGACCATCGGGGAATACTACTATACTGGCTAATGATTCCGAGTCCCATAAGAGATCTTGCAGTCTGCAACCCCGGATACATCTTCGACGCGTCTTGGGATGTTGGGCTCTGAGACTTTATCCGAATTTCCTAGATGAGGCCCCCGAACCTCTTGAATCCCGAGTCATTAAGCACAACATAACACTCCGACACCCGGCTGAGAAAACATACGTTCAAAAGACTGACATACCGAAGCATTCTCAGCTCGGCTTCCTCTCTGAGGGTGACGGTAGGCGCACTTCACGAAGTGGGGGTTTCCGAAATGGGACCCTGTAATATAGTACCGTAAATAGTAGGATCTTTATGATAAGGACCCCCAAAATCAGGTACCCCTATTCTTTCGGAAACTCTGAAGTGGATTTTGGCAGAAAAGTTAGGTCGGGCCGTTGGACTCGAGCGGTTTTGGGCTCAAAGGGTTTAAGGTGGTTCTAAGGCTTCTGGCCTCGGTCTCAGACCCAGTACCCCGTGGCTAAGCAGTCCACCTTGCAGCATGCTCATGATCCCGGTTCACTCTTACCTTTGATGGTATCGAACTCTATGGGTGCCGGGCCTTCATTCTTTTCTGGCGGGTGGTCGCCAGAGATTGCACGCCTGCGCTCTTCTTCACGCTGTACACTACCCTCCGCCAAACTTACATTGAAGCCCTAGGCCTCTCATGAAACACACATCTTTGCACACAACCTGGCACAAGGGAGTAGGCAAAAAAACGAAACTGTCAGATCCATGTCATGTGAGGCTCTGAACAGCACGTCTGCCACCGCTACCAGCATCAATACTAGCACTAGTACTGCCTACACCAGCACCTGGTACCTGGTTTACCGAGCACCTGGTACCTCGTGACCAGCAACTGCTCCTGCTCCTTCACTCCTACTCCCACTCTTGCCAACTCATACTCCTGCCCTACTCCTGCTCGCACTCCGGCTCCTGCTCCAACTCCTATTCCCCACTCTGACTCCTACTGACACTCCCACTCCTGCTGGTGCTGCTCCCGCAACGACTGCTACTGCTCCTACGTTTGCTACTGCTAGTGCTGCTGTTCCTGCTCCTGCTGCTACTGCTGCTGCTGCTCCTGCTGCTGCTCCTGCCGCTGCTCCTGCCGCTGCTCCTGCTGCTGCTGCTGCCGCCGCCGCTGCTGCTGCTGCGGCTCCTGCTGCTGCTGCTGCTCCTGCTGCTGCTGCTCCTGCTCCTGCTGCTGCTGCTGCCGCCACTGCTCCTTCCGCTGCTGCTGCCCCTGCTCCTGCTCCTGCTCCTGCTCCTGCTCCTGCTCCTGCTCCTGCTCCTGCTCCTGCTCCTGCTCCTGCTCCTGCTCCTGCTCCTGCTGCTGCTCCTGCCGCTGCTCCTGCTGCTGCTGCCGCTGCTGCTGCTGCTGCTGCTGCTGCTTGTGCAGCTGCCCCTGCTCCTGCTGCTGCTGCTGCTGCTGCTAGCCCGTGCCTCCGGGTACTCTTCTCTATCTTGCTTGGATGCATACATACATACATACATATATATATATATATACACACTTAGATGTACATAAATACAAACCGTATGCACACGTGTATATATATATATATATATATACATTTGTGTGTATATATGTATATGTATATGTATATGTATATGTATATGTATATGTATATGTATATGTATATGTATATGTATATGTATGTGTAGATGTAGATGTAGATGTAGATGTAGATGTCTATGTATATGTATATGTATATGCATATGTATATGTATGTGTGTATATGTATATGTGTATACATGTATATATGTATACATGTATATATATAATATATATATTATATATATATATGTATATATATGTATATGTAATATTATTGTATATGTACATATGTATATGTATATATGTATATATGTACATATGTATATACGTATATGTTGTATATGTGTATATATGTACATATGTATATACTATTGTATATGTGTATATGTGTATAGATGTCTATATGTATATATGTACATATGTACATATGTACATATGCACTTGTATATGTATATGTATATGCATATGTATGTATGTATGTATATATATATAGGTGTATATGAGTACATATATATATATATATATATATATATACATATACAAATACATATCGAATAAAAATCATATAATATATATATATATATATATATATATATATATATGGTATAAATAAGCTTATAATATATGCAGCTCCATCTTGGCCCCGACGATGTTGGCATGTTTACCCACCCAAACGCAGAGGCACAGGCTTTGTGTCTAGCGACGGGGCATGGGGCTTGGGGTTTCAGAGGCGCGCTTCACGATTCAGGGGTGTTCAAGGGCTTCTCCAATTATCTAATTAGTGAGCAGATCTGAATAACTAGGAATACTATCCCACTCTAGTCCCTCTATAGTTATGCCAGAATCTAACCCAAAACCCGATTCTAATCATTCAGGAGCTCTACAGACTACCAGTCGCATTCCCTACATCTACAACCTTTTGCGGAGTACTGTCTACTTCCCTAAACCCAACACCCTTTCCAAAACGATCTATGGGGACCCTAAACTCGACCCGAGGACCTCGGTTTAGGGTTTAGGGCCGAGGACCTCGGTTCTGCTTGATGAAGTCCTGCAGCTCTTTCCTCTTCTTCTCCTGCGGAGGTTTTGAAGGTCTGGGGACTTGGAGGATTCCTAAATACATAATTACCTATAGGGTTCCTAGGGTTCCTTTAAAGGGGTCTATAAGGGTTACTATGAGGGCTACGAAAAGAGTACTACACTATAGGAAAGGGTTTAGGGTTTAGGGTCTAGGTTGGGTTTTGTAAGTCTGCGGAAGTCGGGCTTGTGGAGTTGGGGTTGGGTTGTTCTGGAGTGTATATAGAGTTTTAAGTACTAAGCTCGCATCTTTTGAACCTTCGACCTCGCAAAAAGAAATCTGAAACTTCGAACTCAAACATGGATTTATGGCCTTGGGCCTTGGGCTTTGAAAAAGTGAGGCCGGTCATACTTCAGGATCCGTCTAAGAACTGCTTTACCCCTTCCGAATTGAAGCATCATAAACCGCAGTAGCAAATTGAATAGTCCGTGTAAGAAAAACACCGTGGGCCCTAAGCCCGAAACTAACCTGACAAACCTGAAACCTCAAATCCCAACCTCCCGGCATCTACCGGCTCTGTCCTGCTCAAGCCGGAGTCTCCGGTGTCCAGAAAATGCAGACAACAACATCCCAACCCCTGTAAGGTTTGGGGTTTGTGGCTTAGGGCACACCAGGCTCCATAGCCTCGAGCTCTTTTCGGGTGCAAGCTTTGATAAACCCTCGGCGGAGCGGGCCTCAAATCAAAATCAATAGAGCCTTTTAATACTACAGTAATAAACATAATGCTAATACAAAAAACTAAATGGCAGTAATAACAATACTAACCACCTCTATTGGGCCCCCGGCCCCAAACCCAAAGCCCCGCAAGCCGCCCCAGCCCTCTCGCAAGATCGACGCCTGCAGATCCCACTTCTTCTGCCAGAGGATCATCTTCTGCTCTTTCTGCTTGATGAACTCCGTGTAGTTGCCTGCACCGAACTGGGACTTGCAGCCGGTGTTCCACCGTATTGGGAGATTAGGCCCTAAACTCGGCACAAGCACGCGATCCGTAAGATCCTCAGAGTATAGAGTTCCGCCAAGAAGTAGGAGTAGGAGCAGTACTGTAGTAGTCGTAGTAGCCGTAGTCGTAGTAGCAGTCGTCGTTGTTGTCGTAGTAGTAGTAGTAGTAGTCGTCGTCGTGGTGGTGGTGGTGGTAGTAGTAGTAGTAGTAGTAGTAGTAGTAGTAGTAGTAGTAGTAGTAGTGGTAGTAGCAGTAGCAGTAGCAGTAGTAGTAGTAGTAGTAGTAGTAGTAGTAGTAGTAGTAGTAGTAGTAGTTGCTGTTGTTGTTGTAGTTGTGGTAGTCGTAGTAGGAAGAGCAGCGCGAGGCGCTCATGGTGGCGGCCACTGCCCTGGCGGACTCCTTTGTCGTGGTCGTCGTCGCAGTCATCGTCTCGGTCGTCGTCCTCGTCGTGGAAGTCGTGGTCGCCTTCGCTTCCCCGTCATATCGCCTCCGTTAAAGATGATAAATATCCGCCCTAGGCTTTCGATTCAGACTTCAATACCGCAGCACCTCGGACCACCGTCTTTGTGTACCCTCTGCGGCCGCAGTTTCCCGCCTTCGTAGCTGTACGTCATGCCCTCGACTGTCTCAATCACTCCTCAGGTGGATATATCCCAGCTAAGCTTCCAGTAAATGCACCAAAAAAGACTTCCCTAGAAGCCCTCAACCTGAGCTTCAAGCCGCTTGAGGACGTCCGACTTGAAAGGAGGGCCGGGAGCGAAGCTTTCAGGTTCTCAGTTCTGGTTTCTAATCTTCATGAACGTTGGGCTTGAGGGTTTAGGAGTTTCGGGGTCTACAGTAAATCTTCATGAACATAAAAGCTTCAAGGACTGGTCGGGCTTCATGTTGGGCAATGTCGCATGCGGGGGGGGGGGGGCTTCAGATGGGATCAGGGTTCTGGGCTTGAAAGGCTCATGGTTTCGAGTCTCTCGGAGTCTCTTCTCTTTTCGGGCTGAGAGTCAGGGTCGATAGCGCTACCTTTCACTTCAAGCAGCCCCGAAGACCTGCAAATGCCCAAGTCAGCCCTTGCAGCTTGTTGCATCATGTAGATCGGCTGTGGAACTCAACAGCAATGGCTGCCAGCCAATACAGTGCACATGCGATGGCTTCTGAATGAACAGATCGGCAAAACTTAAGGTCATGCCGGTAAAACTGTTGCTTGAATATGATGATACCAGCAGCAAGCTATGAAGTTTCCCTGGAACAATAAGCCCCATACCTGAAGCCTTAAACTCTATACCATCCTAAACCCTATAGATCCCTTAACGCAACCCCTATAGTACCCTTTAAAGGAACCCATTAAACCCAATGAACCTTGAACTCCAGAACCGCATGGCAAGACCCCCAGATCGGCAGTTCAGTGAGGGTTCCGGGTAATGTAGGGTCTGAATTAGGTACGGCCCCCTTACACTAAGAGTCTATAATAGGGCTACTATTAGGGCCCTAATATATCTATATTATGAATATTATGGTCTGAATAAGTAGAAGAAACTTACTTCAAGCTTTCCTTTAAGGGTTCTACAACGGTTTCTATAAGTCTACAGGCAGCTCAGTTTAATGCAATATAGGGGCCTTAACGATCAAAGTAGGGGTCTATGCGGAGAGGGGCAAAAATCAAGTATACTCACTAAGAAATGTGATTTTTAGCTTTGCGCTCTTACGTTGAGGACTTTGGAGTTCTGGGGTTCGGAGTGGGTTTCTAGCAAGAATCTCTCTTCTGCAAAGCCTAGTGTTCAAGGGGTTAGGGTGTTGTGGTTTCGTTGGGGGCGGGCGGACTTTGTTGTGGCATACCGCTGCCGGACCGCTCGGAAACTCCCTCTGCTACCATATGGACCATAAGGGCCTTGGAAAGTGCAACGTATAGTCGAGTTATATTAAGGAGCCCTAAGGAAAGAGTAGGACAGTTCTACATACTTAATTCGACTGCTGGGCCATCCCATCAAAGCTAAAGGCGTAGGATTGAGGGCACCAGGGTTTATGGCTTCAGGCTGCTTAGGGTCTTGGGCTTCGGGCTCTGAGGTTTAGAGAAGACGAGATGCTGTTGCACGTGCGGTTCATGAACTCGCGGTCGTGCGTCACGACCTCGCTCTTTCAAGCTAAGAGTTGTCTCAGTGCAGGCAGGAACGCAAGAGAAATGATAAACCTGGAGCCCGGAATTACAGCCCTCTTCGGCGCCTCAGCCTTAAACTTAACCTTCGACCCTGAACCATAACCCAACCCTAATTCTCAAACAAATTGAGTACCTGGGCTGGAGCGAGGGATGTCAGGGAGTCGGCAACTCGGAAGGTTTGCGGGGCGGGGGGGGAACACCCCGGCTCCAAAACTGCAATCCACCCCCGAGCCTGAAATGGTATGGAAGGCTATGCACGGGCAAAGTAAAAGGAGTGAAGAGCATGTAGCCAGCAAAAGTAGGCAGGCTTCATAGTGTTCGGGTGTATACTCGCATCCGATAAAACTCTAAGCCCGACTCCGGCCTGAAGTCTGCAGAACCGGTGCAATTCCCGACACCCCAAACCCCTTACCCCTTGGATTAACTTCTGGATGGGAGTTTTGGGAGTAGGATCCTCATTGCCGTCGCCGTACAGACCCTCTTGAAGGCACAAAAAGCCCCAACTTCTGATCTCATAACTTTTTTTTGGGTGGCATGGCCCTGAAGCGTTCTAGCGACAGGGCGTCGAACACCGAAAGCCTTCTGGCATAAGGGAACAGCTGCGGGTTCTTATACTACAGCAACAAAGCCAAGAAACAAGTGTGCGTGGCCTTTCACACCTACATCCTGAAAGCTTTAAGGCTCCAGCGAGCCCTAACACCCAAAGCCCTGACTGTTGGCTCCTGAGTCATAAACCCACTTCCATAAAACCGATTACATGGCGGACCCTATTCTTAGGGCCCTTCAACAGATGGGTCTTTACATTCCTTGTAGTCTCCATTGTAGTTCCGCGCATTTTTTGGCTAATCGATTTTACATGACAGGCTCCTAACCATAAACTTGGATACCCCAGGCAGAATCTACGATGGAGACTACAAATAGTTCTCAACAAAACAACTCTTAAGCTGAGGTGTGCACAACAACTGGACTTGACAGGGATCGAATGAAGCTCTCAATCCACTCCACCTGGCTACGTAGTAGGATTTCTTGCGTTGCTGGGCGAGTTCAGTGTTTAACCAGGATGGCTTGGGGTTCAGACTGCGGTGATGACTCTGAATTCCCCAAGCTGCAAATCAAGGACTCTACAGCTTTTTCGGGTGTACATGGTACGGGGCAGTTATGCATTAGGGCTATTAGGGCTATTAGGGCCATCTAGGCTTGAAGGCTTTTTGTTCGGAACCTGGGCTCTTGGGCTTGATTCTGCGCTCCCTGTGTCATCCGCCGTGATCTGAGCAGCAGTCGTCATTCAGAGGCTCCATCGTAGTTCCCTTTTCGGGGATACTTTATAGGGCTCTAAGTATGAGCAACAAAAAGAACTACTATGGAGCCATAGGTAGACTGGATCAAAACTTTAGGCGCTAAACTCCACCCTGCAAGATTTCAGTATTGCGACTTGCCCTTGGCGGAAGAACTCACACAGCGCCGAGACGTTGCTAACCGGGGGGCTACCAAAATGATCCGAACGCACGGAAGCTGAGGCGAAGAAGTAATTACTGTCGGGCGAATTGAGGCTTCAGAAGCTTACTGATCGAAACTAGTAACCAAGACTCCTAAATCCCTGCTAAAGTTCCACCCCTCCTCGTTACACCAGCACCTTGAATTTTCAGTGGTCCACACCCGGTTACTGTGCACGAGCCTGCTGAGCTTTGTGCACGTCTTATTCATGTATCTCATCCTACACTACGAGGCACAAACACATAACAACCTTTCGAGCCAAGAGGCCCAAGTAGTGCCGCTTCAAAAGGACAGTACGTAACACAGGGATCTGCACTCATCAAGCAAACCGTCTGCAAGCTGCATGCTCACTCCTATATACAGACCTATGACAATGGTTCAGAGCCAATTTGCGCATGTCTTTTGATTTAAGCCCGACAATGTAGCGCAAACATCGACAGCAAAGGCTCAAACGCACACATCCTAAAACAAAAACTCCAAACCCTAACACCCACGATTTCTTAATGTTAAGGGCGACCTGCTCTCAAGCCCGAACAGAGCAAAGCACAGGCAGATCCACCGCTTCCAAATCCAAGTGGTTCGTGGGCTCATCGAGGAGGAGAATGTCAGGGCTGCGAAGAATGCGTGGTGTCTTATAGGCTTTTGCGGGGGCTCGGGATGTAAAACATGCATAGGACGTGGTTAGCACAGGGTTTCAGAGAGGGCTGTATGTAAGGAATTTATGCAGAATATAACGTTTCGGAACCGAAGCTTACAGTCAAGGGTTTCTGGGCCTGAGGTTTAGGATTTGCAGTTTTGGATTTTTGTGTTCACGTGTGAACGATTTGTTGTCGAATTTCGGCATTGTTACTTTACTGTCTTCAGCTTGGGGGAGCCCCAGCTGCAAGGCCGCTATTTCCCTGTTCCAGAAGTCTAAACACGAAACCCTCCAACCCAAAACCCTTAAGGCCTAGTTACATAAACCCGACATCCTACAGCTCTGAACCCGAAACCCTACAGCCATCAGTCCTTCACCCTGAACCCTTTAACCGGGTGCTGTTGTTTTTTGCTCCTTTTTCTTGTCTGTCTTCGCGGTGTGGGATGGGGGAATCAGCCGAATGTACGCAGCGCTGCTGGCACGCCCCTGCATCTGAGACGTCCTGGAAGGTGCCACGATCGAAGGCGGCGGCCAATTTTAGTGGAAAACGTCCAGGGCACGACGCTTCGCCAGCTCGCCTAAATTACCTTATTTCAAGGTTTACAGGCATTAAAAGTGCTGTTGTTCATAGTTATTGTACTTGTTAATGTTAATGTTCTTGTTATTGTTGTTCTCGTTGTCGCTATTGTTGTTGCCATTGATATTATATTCACTACTAGTGTTGCTGCTGTTGTTGATGTGGTTGTGGTGGTTGTCGTGCTTGTTGTTGTTGTTACCATTGTGGTCGTTGCGGTCGTGTTTTTGTTCTTGTTAATGTTCTTGTTACTGTTCTTGCTGTCCTTTTCTTTAATATGATTCGCTATAAACTGAAACAAACATGAAGTTAAAAAATCGAACAGTATAATATAATATGTAATAATATAGTCTAAAATGAAACAATGACGCACCCCTCTTTTGCAAACAAAAGGCTTTTATGACGAGATTGAAAAGCTCTAAAACAGTTTTGTGTTTGATGCAAGTCTTGTTCATGATGCGATGTTCTTGAAAGCAAGCCTGCACGGGGTAAAAAGAAAGAGGCCCCCATTTGCAAACACAACGTTTTTATGACGGGTTCTGAGAAGGTCCATATGGGTTCTGTCTTTGCTCGCAAGACGATACTCGAAGCGACCTTGCTGAGCGTAAAAAACTTCCACACAATCTGATATTATACTTTATCAAATAATGGAATATGTTATAATATAATATAGTATAATATAATATAATACAATATAAAATAATGTAATATAATATAATATAATATAATATAATAATAAAATATGATGGAGAAACATATATTCCAACATGATACAATAAAAATAAAATGCAAATTGCATACGTTGACATAACATGTACACAATAGTCAAAGTAAAATCACATTTTACAATAGAACAAAATAGAATATGATATGATAAAATATGGTGCAATATTAAAATAACGTAACAGAAAAACATAATATGACACAACAAAACATAATATCATACAACATGTTGAAAATAAATTATACTGATAGAATAGAATAATGTAACACAAGTTGATAAAACATTCAACATTCTTTTATATTGTAATGGAACGTGATATAATAAAACATAGAACGATACAGTGTAGTACAACTTACGACAATATCTTGACATGTAGAGTAGAACATGACATGATATGATATAATATGATACAATGCGAAAAAATATGATATAATTTTATATGATATAACAACATGAAATATATCCCGTAATATACTAATATGCTATCATATGACAAGATATTCGACAGTACACTAAAAGATGATATTTTTTTGATACGATTCGATATATTTAGAATAACATGATACAGTACAATATAACGTTCTATGACATAATACTAAACAAAACAATGATGCAGCCCTTTTGCAAACAGAATGCCATTATGATGAGTTTTGAAAAGCTCCAAAACAGCTTTGTGTTTGATGCAAGTCTTGCTCATGATGCGATGTCCTTGGAAACAAGCTTGCGCGGCTCAAAACGAAAGAAGAGGGTTGGGGCGGAGCCCCCCCCCCACTTGCAAACACAACGTCTTTATGGCGGGGTCCATATGGGTTCTGTCTTTGTTGGCAAACTGATACCTGAAACGATATAAAACGGGGACGCGCCCCCCAATTGGAAACAGAATGCTTGCGTGATGAGTTTTGGAAAGCTCTAAAACAATTTTGTGCTTGGTGCAAGTCTTGTTCATGGTGTGATGTTCTTGAAAGCAAGCCTGCGCGGCTTAAAAACAAGGGGTTTGCAAACACAGCGTCTTTATCACGGGTTCTGGAAAGGTCCATATGGGTTCTGTCTTTGCTAGCAGGATGATGCTCGAAGCGACCTTGCTCAATTTAAGAAATGTGAGAAATAAATAAGTTGATATGACATAACATAATATAGTATAACATAACATGATACAACTAAATATACCATACAATATAACATACTGTAATATAACATGACAAAATACATTGAAATGTAAAGAAACATATAAGAATTAACTGTGATATGTTGTACTACAGTACATTGTGATGTACTTTAATATAGTATAACTTAGTTTATTATGGTATAATACAATAAATCAGAAATATGATACGCTATGTTATGATTTTTATAATGTCGTATCATATAACATCATATATTCAGTTTTAAAATAATCTGATATTACTTCATATAAAACAATACAATATGATCGACTATAACACAATATACTAGAAGATAATAGACTCTGCTATATATATATGTATGATCGACTATAATACAACATACTAGAAGATAATACACTTTACTATATACCTATGTAGTTTAATATAACATAGTCTATTATAGTACACGAAGCTATAAGAAGTCGAAACGCCAAGAAGCCGAGCGGCCGAAAAGCCAAGAAACCACCTCTGCTCACCCTTGCTTCGAAAAGTATACTTTTAACCTTATATACTTACTATACATCCTGAAAACTGGACCAGAGGACCAGGGGCTGCACCGGACCAGGGGACCAAGAAGACCAAGGGACCAGGGGACCAGAGGACCACGGGACCAGAGGACCAGGGGGACAGGAAAACAAGGGGAGCAACAAAAAAACAAGGAGTGAAACAATACGCCGTCCCTTTTAACCCTGGACTGACGCTCGGCCCCCCGGATACCTCTTGCTTCTCAGTCAGGCAATCACGCTACGGCCAAGACATTCGAGCTCTCGGAGCCGAAATTGCAGATGTGCACCTCCCGTCTTCGAAACGAGTGTAAACTCAGACTGCTCAGGTATACGGCGACGGTGTAAGCATCCGCAGCAGTGAAGCAGTATGGCATCTACAAGTGACTGAAGTTGCAAAGCAACTGTGGCACCCAGAACACGAGAACTTCAACACAGTAGCACAACAAATAGATTTCATGAGCAGTCACACCAACAACACCAACAGCAACAACAAAAGCAAGAACAACGACAACGACAACGACGACGGCGACGACCGCGACAGCAGCAACAACTGCAATGGCAGCAGTATCAGGGCCTGGCCACTCAGCTTCAAACACAAGCGAAGCTTGAGGAGCCTCCAGCGTCAACAAATTCCGCACCGCCCATGCACGGGGACACCCGGCCGCAAACCAGCCGAGTTGCAAATGGGGTGACGCCAGATGGGGGCCAAAGTGAACCTATAACCCACTGACCAATGCCCCCATCTTGACCTGAAACTCCTAAACCCTCGAACCCAAATCCTGAACCCTACCTAAACCCAAAGCCCTGTGATACCCTTATGGTAACCTTATGGAGCCCTTTAAATACCCCTAAACCTTAAACCCTAAAGCCCCAAACCCTTCAAGCTGAGAACCCCACCTGTTCATGAAGAGCTTGCTCACACCAATGCGGACCTGGCTCGCTCCAACCAAAGGACAAGATCAGGATGCAGGGTTTGGGGAAGTTTGGAGTCTAGGAGTTTAGATGTCAGGTTTCGGGGCTGACACGGGTGGGTCTCACATAACTGAATAACTATGTTCAGCGGCGTTTCGGTCGCCAGCCCTGGTTTGTTTCTGTCGCCATACAATACTGTAGTGTTCACGGGGTTCCACAATGTTGATTTGGGGGAATCAGCTCGAAGAGTATGACGTAGGGCTGAAACAGCAACTTCCAGCGCTTGGGGGTTTAGGCACTTCCTGTTCTAGGCTACTCGAGGGAGGAGACTCCAGAGACCCAGGCCAACAAGCGAATTTCAGATGACCTTGAGCTTCGAAGGGGATGTAATTAACATACATATGCACAGAGAGAGAGAGAGAGAGAGAGAGAGAGAGAGAGAGAGAGAGAGAGAGAGAGAGATGCGATGCGTTCCTCACTCGCCCTTCTCCTCCTTATCCATGTAATGGCCCCTTGCGGCAGCCGTACCTGTGTAACCCTGAGCTCTTTTCAACCCCCTACTGTAACCCTGAGCCCTGAACCCTTAGTCGCAAAGCCTGACCCTGAAACCCAGCTATCCGAGAGAACGTGCCTTCCAGCCACCACTGAAGAGGCCAACCTTGCAAATTACTGGATCTTAAGGGGACTTACCACGTAGCGTTATTTAGGTCTAGGGGTGCCGTGGGGGTGAGCGCAGAGTTCGTTGATTTAGGACTCGGTTCTAGCCTCCTAGACCGAGCAAGTCCTGTAGGTCGGGTTACGATGACAACTCTTTGAATCCTTACCGATGCTGGACCGTGTGCCAAAAAACCGTCCCGACAAAGAGGGCAGGGCACTCCCCAGTTCTGCATGAAAGTAATAGGGTGATTGACGCTAGTACACCTGAAGAGGCACCGCAACACTCACCAACATTCCTATGGCACCACCCTAAGGCCCCAAAGTAGCTCGTTTTGGGGGTTCATATGTAGAATCCTATCAGGTAATCCCCCAAAAAAGGAGCTGCTTTGGGGCCTATGGGCAAAGCTCCGGTGCCAACCTTAGCTCGAACCTCGCATGCCTGGAAGCATTCCCCGGCATGCCGGCGTGGTTCATGCTAAAAACCATATAGAAGTAAGAGTACAGTAATTCACCATGAGGACCCCTAAAACCCTTAATTGAGGTAGAATAGGTAAACCAGCGGCCCTCGAAACATGGAGCAAAACTTTGGCGGACATATTAAAGTAGAACTGTACAGGGATTGTGTTACGAATTACCAGCGCGTCAGTAATGTACCGCACAACCATAACCTCACCCCAAAACCCCATTCTAATATTCGGTTAGCCCCGGCAGTGAAATCCTGAGCCCTTGCCCCTGCATGCACTCTCCCGGCACCTGTAGGACCAAGGGCTTGGGGGCTAGGGGTTACTTTTTGGGCTTCAGGCTTTGCCGTTTATTGTTTTGGGATTAGACTTTCTGGAAACACTCAAAACTTGGGAATCGCCATCTTCACAACATCTTGCCTAGGCGTCGGAGTGTAGCACCTTTTAGTTGGCTAATGTAAGGGCCTCACTAATGAAGATAGAGTCTTCTGGGGTTCCTTGTTCCACTTACAGTAGAAGTTAGCCCCAAAGCCCTATTGTAATTACGAAGGCCCCTACATGAGCTTAGCTGCCTATGGGATCCGGGAAGAGTCTCTGCACCTCATGTTCCAGCTGCTTGCACTGGCAGCTTCCGGAGTCCTACAGACTTACGCCTTTGGGTTCGGGGTTTACTTTCTGGTACCTCTTCTCTGAAGCTACGGATGTGGCGAGTCTCTCTTTTCTGTATATTGCCTGATTGACCTTCTTTCATCCTACGGCCCCTGTATGCCCCTGCCCCTGTATGATATCTGATCTGGGGCGAACGCCTTTCGATCCAGATCCTCGTCCAAGAATCCGGTCTCGGAAGGATTTGAGGAGCTGAGGACTCGTTCGAGTTAGTTTTTGGGGGGGCTTTGGCCCTTGGATTTGGGGGCAGCTTGCGGGTTTAGGACCAGGACTTACAGGATGCGATGGGCCGCATGGTTCAGGATCCGCAAATGCTAAGATGTAACGAGTTCAAGTCTTTCCGGCGCCGGATGCAGGGACCTGTGGAAAGCTTTGAAATTTCCATTCAGGCATGCTTGGAAGGACAAGTCTGTGGGTAAACTTGCACAAGCTTAACAATTCTACACAACGGGAGGCTCAAGCTAGCACTCTCAAACCTTTGGCCGGCTCGTCTTCGCTTGCTTTCCGGGGGAGATCCAACATGGCGAGTGCTCTAACGTAGAAAAGCCTTGCAAGTCTGCAGCTGAACCACTGCCCGGTATATTGGCTGGGGAACCTCATACATAGCTAATTACAATAGGGTCTCTGGCGCCATTTATACTAAACTTATAACAAGGAACCACCCCAAAATAGTATTGGTGATTTAGGCCCGTATAGTGGTGGAAACTTGGTCTAGGGGCTTTGACACCACTCTTCGTATCCGTCGGGCTGCTCCCACATGCCACAGCTTTCGGGCTCATTTAGGGCCAGCGGCTACCGCTTACAAGTCTTATGCAGCCCTATGAAACTCCGAATAAGACCCGGTACGAAGTTTATAAGCATCAAGGCTGTCAGGAAGCCTTGAATGAACCCCTAAACCCCAAAATCTCAACCGCGGGGCCTGAAATCCCCAAACCCAAGAACAACACGCTGACCCCGGAACTCCAGAACCCCAACTCCTAAATCCCTGAACCCCTAACACCAAAAAAACAAACCATTGAACCCTTCACCCCGAATCGTATTCTCTAAACCCTAAATCCCTTAACCCCAAACCCTTACAAGGAAGCACCCCGAATCGTCTTCTCGTGGAGCCGAAAGGCAATGGTTTGGACGGTCGCAAGCTGGTCGTCCAACTTGTAGGTCTGCAGAAAAGGCCCGCATTGTACGGGGGTTGCTTATGTAGGTACCTGATTAAGAAACCCTGGCCCTATAACACCAAAATATTAGGATTCATATGTAGAACCCTAATAAAGACATAAGGTTTCTTAATCAGGTTCCTATTATCTTAGATGAGCTACTACAAGGGCAGCTATAAGAGTTCGATAGGCCTGCGGTTTAGGGTTCCAGGGCGTTTCGGGTCAAGGTTTGCGGGAAAGAGAAGGTTCAGGGGGCTTGGGGCCTTGATAATGAACTACAGAGTTCTGGGGGTTGGGTCTGGGGTTAGGGATTTGAGCTAAGCTAGGACGTAGGATTTACGGGGTTGGGATTTGGGGCTCGGGGTCTGTTCTTTTGGAGTTCTGAGCTCCCAAGACTATATGGGGGTGTCCGAAAATCGGGGACCCTAATATAGTACCCTGAAATGTAGGATTCTTACTATAAGGATCCCACAATAAGGTACCCCTAAATTTCGGAAACTCCCATATCGGGTCTGGAGCAGGCGGTCTCGGGATTAAGGGTTCCCAAGATTTCTGATCTAGGGTTTGGCGACTGAGGATCTGCATCAGGGCTCCGACATTTCAGAGTACAACTCAATGCTAAAACGCCCCGCTAGCTCAGCCTTTGTAAGGAAAGCCCGAGCCTTAGTATCTACCGCTACTGAAGCAAGTGGAACCGCGGTGTCTTGGAGGGATGTCAAGTTTCTTGGCCAGCTCGTCGCGAACGCATTCAACAGTTGCTGATAAAACCGGCGAGCACCATGTGTCCGTGGGGACCGTGTTCTTCAGAGCTCTGAGGATCAGCGGGATCGCTTTGAGGGGGAAATCCTGGAGCTGTCGCTCGCTCGACAGTCGTTCATAGAGAGTGTGCCCAAGGCAAATCCTACCAGAACTATGTGCAACCGCACTCCTGATACAGATCCGCGCTGCGGCATGTGGCCTCCGAAGCCGCCGCCGCACGGTGCTCCGACGCTTCTGCGCCGTGGACTCCCCGTTCTTCAGGCTCTCGGTCTTCCTCCAAACGGTCCACATCACGCCTCAGCGAGTCAACCTCAGCCTGCGTTGTCATCCACGAGCCCTTTCTGGTAGCCGCAGGCAGAGACTCGCAGGAGAATGCCCTTAAATCTCCTGACTGGGATCCTGATGCTTTAGGCTTTATAAGGGTTTATAAGGATATTTAGGATTTTGGGATGTAGGGTTTAGGGCGGCAGGGCATTCTATTCTATCAAAGGCTGGGACAGAGGCTGCCATAACCATCAACCTAGAACAGAATAATCGAAGCTCCTTTTGGTATCGTGCTGGGGTTCTGAACACTATAGCTCATGTAGGAACCTGATTAAGAAATCCTGGCGCGATAGCACCCAAATAGTAGGATTCATATAAGGAACCCTTATAAAGACCAAGGGTTTCTTACTCAGGTCCCTACATTATCAGCTGCTAAGGCCCCTCTGTTATCGGCAACAATACAGCACGGCCTCCCAAGCGCCGGGGCTTTCTGTGGGGCTCAAGTTTGAGGGGCGGTTCATGAGATGCGGCAGAATCCTCAAACCCCTTGTTGGGTCATAGTGTGCAGGATGATCTCCAGGAGATTCTGCCGTGAACTTCTCCTGCGCCTTCTGGAAACTTCAACCCGGATCCGAATAATCCAAACAAGCGCGACGTGCGAGTAGTTCTGCGCCGTGTTTCCATTTCGGGCGCCCTGTAATGCTCGCTTCCTACTAGACTTCATAATTTAATGCTATGCACACCCTAAGCTCTACACCCGTTTAGAATTCTTATGACTTCAGAGCCACTTGCCATTCCCCAGCGACCCTCCCAAGGGCGCGCCCCGTACTCCTCCTCGAGCGTGGTGAGTTCCGTAAGCCTGCAGTCAGGGCGGCAGTGTTCACAAACTGCAAACCACCTTAGCAGACTTTGAACACGGGAGATCTGCACTGAGACTCAAGGTTTATCACAGCTTACCCCCAAACCCACACGGCCCAGAAAGAGAAGCAGTGCAAATGCCTGTGCAACCCGCGTGAAAGCGATCATCAACTTCATCAGGGCCCCAGAAACTCTTAGAGGTTTTTTAGGGCTACCCATAGGTCCCAAAGTAGTTCCTGTTTGGGATTACCAAAAAGGATTCTATGTATGAACCCCAAAAAGGAACTACTTTGGGGCCTCTGGGTACCTTGCAACAAAAAACATGAAACCGAACCACCTGAACCCCAACAGGAGAAGACTCCTGGACACGCGGCAACCCGCCTGTCGACAAGGCGCATCTGCTCCTGCGGATCTTCTGGATTCGCCTCAGGGCTTGAGGATGGAGGGTTTAGGGTTTATAGGGTTTAGGGTTTATAAAAGGGTTTAGGGTTTATAGGGTTTAGGGTTTATAGGGTTTATAGGGTTTATAGGGCTTATAGGGTTTACAGGGTTTAGGCTTTCGGGAACCAGGATTGGAAAGAGCAACGGTGTATAAAGAAAGCACTATGGTAACGAAAGCACTGTACCGGTATTCATATGGGAGAACAAACATAGCATCACGTCTGTTCTTCTGATTTATTGAGCTATGTACTGTTTTTGAGTTTGGACCACCTCCCTACAAATGGCATTTCCCAACAGGGATGCATGCAACTTCCCAGGCCGAAGTAGATCCATCATGGATGCATGGACCTTTGAGAACTAATCAGCTAAGACTACGATATAGAAACAGCTCATGCAATCTGGTGAAACATGCCTACATGCCACAATACCACGGTAAGAACTCTGCTGAAAACCTTACCCTAGGACAGCCTCCGAAATACAGCAGGCTGTTGTTGAGGGTTCCGTTTGCAGGATATGCTCGGACATGGTCATATTTCTTTAAACCCTTTGCTCGTGGAAGTAGGTACAAAGTGGCCCTTCCAATGAGCGAAGCGGCGAAAGATGCCACTAGGCTAAGGCTTTTGGGTTTGGGGCTATCGGCCCCAGAAGCCGGAATGAGAGGAACATACTACAGGGGCCTTAATGACTAGAATAGCCTTTTGGGGCCCATTATACTATACATTATACTAAGGAACCCAGTATTGGTAAAGATTTGGGGCCCTGGATAGTACAAGTAACTTGTGTGCGGGCCTCCGCTGCTGCTACTAAATACTCGATCACTTTCACCACGAACCCTCGACCCTCAACCCTGACTTCTAAACATCCTGAACCATCCTCGCAGCTGAAGGCTTCAGGCATGCATGCCCTGAATCTCTATATGGGAGTTTCAGCAAATAGTGGTACCCCATTTTGGGGTCCTTATAATAAGAGTCCTACTTAGTTTGGGTTCTCGAAACTGGCCGGCCAGGTGTACACAGTTGCGCACGTAATAACATGGCTCAATGGAATAGGGCTTTGGAGTACTATCACTGATTATTCAGGCCCCTATGTTTCCAGATTGTGGCCCGCCCCTATGTCTACAAATTGCGGCCCTAAACCAATTGAGGATCCAGCCTCCAGCGCCTTCGTGACCTCTTCTTTCTCGTCTAGGATGGCCTCGCAGTCTGGATGCAAGCTTGGGCTGGGGGGATCATGATGGTGCACTCCCTCTCTCTCTCTCTCTCTCTCTCTCTCTCTCTCTCTCCCTCTCTCTCTCTCTCTCTCTCTCTCTCTCTCTCTCTCTCTCTCTCTCTCTCTCTCTCTCGCTTAGAGGTATATGCACACAGTGAAAGCTCTATATAATGCTTGGGTTATAAACAAAAACAGACAGAAAATAGAAACAGAACGATAAACGGAGAGACCCATGAACAGGCCAGAGGCGAGCAGGCAGGCAGCCAGGCAGCCAGGCAGCCAGGAGGTAGCCGGGCAGCCAGGCAGCAGGCCAGGCCAGGCCAGGCCAGGACGGCCGGCAGGCGACAGATAGATGAACAGATAGATAGGTAGACAGGTAGGTAGAGAGGTGCCTGAGGTGATCGAGCACACAAAAATGCTACAAGACTCGGCAAAACAACGATGGTCAGGAACATGGTATTTAGAACAATCATTACACAAGTGGTAATCATAGAGATTAAGAGCCAACAACTGTTGTCAGTGTCACTAGCTTAGGAAGCAAAGAACGTTTAGTCTTCGGCATTTCATACTAGGTTGAGGCTTTTGAAATGAGACGATGGAGATTCGTGGTTACCTCGCTTCTGGGCAACAGGCCAGAAACGATTTTCAGGGGCCCGGGTTTCAGACAAACAGTGGGGTCCGAAGCAAGAAAGCCTAGGGGTCATCATTCCCACTGACCTGACTTGATTAAGCAAGCTGGCCATGCCACACCACTGCAGCCCCGAACCACTCAAGACTTCGGACTTGGGACTTCGGGTAGCTTTCGATGAAGCCGTCTGCACCGAAACGGACGAGGGGCAGTGCGACAAGAGACGCCCAAACCGGAGGTCGGAACCCCGCCTTCTGCTCCGGCAGAGCTGAGAGCAACTCCTCCTTAAGGGTCCGCTCCGGGTCCAAGTCGTCCACGAAGCTCTGCCTGGGATGGTCTCGGGCGAGCGCGGTTTAGGGTTGAAAGTTTTGGGTAAAAAGGTAGCTGTTTGCAATTTTATCCTGCTATCGTTCTCGTGAGAATATTATAGTGCAAGGTATCCCAGAAGCCTATTTTATTTGGGATGATGTGACGTGTCACACAGAATCAACCTCGACTCACTTTCCGAAGCCGTAAGCTCCAAAGTCTAGATTCCCCTGAACTCTAAACCTTTGAACGATAAACCAGAAACCAACAACTTCTTCACCGCAATAATCCGAGCTCTCTACAACCCAGAACCACCCTAAACCCTAAACCACTCTAAACCCTAAACCACCCTAAACCCTAAACCACTGTAAACCCTAAACCACCCTAAACCCTAAACCCTAAACGATCACGCTTTGATTTCGCCAAGAAGCTCCAGGATAGCAACCTTTGCCTTCGCCGGGCCTGTGGTCAAGACGCTTACCTCTAGTAGGGAATGGAAGAATGGCAGTAATAGTAGCTATGATTCTACCCCAAACCCTAAACCCTAAACCCCTAAACCCTAAACCCTAAACCCCATTCCTCCATTCCCTGCTAACCAAAGGTAAGGACGGCGACTCGAAGGGGCCCCGAAAGGGCTACTGCGAGGGTGGTAGGGGTTTAGGGTTCCTAAAAGGCTACAGGGGCTCAGGGTTTGGGGTTTAGGGGTTTAGGGTTTTGGGGGTTTAGGGCTCTTAAAGGGCTACAGGAGCTTAGGGTTTGGGGTTTAGGGCTTTAGGGTTCATAAAGGGCTACAATGAGGGTTACTATGAGGGGTTCCTATAGAAGTTCCTATAATGGTTAGGCTTGAGGGTTCCTATGAGGGGTACTCTAAGGGTTCCTAAAAGGGTTACTACGTAAATGGTCACTGTTCGGCTCCCGGGTATTAGAGTCCTGATGCACAAGCTTCGGGGTTTAGGGCTTAGGGGAATTGGTCTTCTGACGTTAGCCTCAGAAGATCGTGCTCAGCTAAAACCGGCCACCACTGCTTTCCGTTCACTTGCCGGTCGGAGCGGACGTTGCCACAATATTTTGCATTTTTGGTCCGTCGCCCAGAGCTGAAGAGGATTCTTAACAGAGACAGGTGTCTGTGCAATTCAATGAATCACTGGCAGAAAGGCCAAAGCCGCAGAATTTGCAAGAATGAGGTCGGGTCGAGTCACGCCTTTGCCAGGTGTAACCCTGTCCCACTTGGTGGATGCACCAACTGTGGGTTCGGGCTCGATCTCAGTTCAAGTGACAGTCACGATCAATCCACACACAGCACCTGTAGTTAATCCACAACACTTTTGGCATCCTGGTGTACCAGACTCCTAGCACTGATGATTTTCTGAACTGCAACTGCTAGTAAGCTAGTACTGCAGACTACCACTGCCGCTTCTGCCGCCACTGCCATTGCCACTACCTCTACGACGACTTACTACTGCGACTACTGCTACTACCGCTGCTGCTGATGCTGCTGCGACTACGACTACGACGACGACGACGACGACGACGACTACTACTACTACTACTACTACTAGTATCACCACTACTGTCAGTCATATCATTATTCCTCGAAATCCTCTGCATGCCGAGACTTCCGCAGTCGGTTGTTCCAAGACGCCACGGATAAGGAAAGCCCGACCCCAAATCGAAACTCGAAACCCACAAGCTAGTCATCAAGCGCTGTACCTAAACCGACACCCTGAACCCAATCTCGAACCCTGAGCCCAAGCCTGAACTCGAAACGCCAATCCCCAAACCCTAAAACCCTGGCTGAAGTACTAAGGTTTCAACTCTTTACCACCTCGCCCTTCTCCGGGGTCAACCTCGCCACCAAGGCAACATGGTGGGTCTTTGACAGACTACGGTTGTTTGGGATCCTAACCTTCTGTGTTCTACTAAGAGGAGATGACCGAGCCCAAGACAGGCTGCAAGAAGGATCTTTAAGGAATAGTCTACCTTCGGCCTGTATACTTCAAGGTGGTTTCGGCATTAGCGATCTAGGGCATCAGCACACCCTAGCTAAGCAAAGCTGCCGGCGAGAGAGGGAGTGTCAGGTGGAGAGACTGCTCAAAACGAGCAGCATGGGCATAAGGACAATATACAACTAACAAGAGCAAGGATATACCCATGTTGGGACACAAGATTATTAAGATGTTCAATAAGAAGCTCATCACATATAAGACTGTTGAATCTCATGGACCAGGTGAAGATGAAGATTGGGATGCAGATGACAGCGACGAACGGACAAACCCGACCACGACGACAAGGAGAATCAAGAAGCACATAGGCGCCTCAATAATTGCCTATACCATGGTTTCCTCACTATAATTATAGTACAACAATATACCCCAAAACCCTATTCTAAATATTAAGGCTCCTATAATAGTCGGCATGGTCTTGGTTCTTGATCATCGGTAGCAGTGGCGAGTGCCCGAGGCACCTGATTCAATTGCGCTGAATCTAAGGCCACGAGCCGGAGCAAAGCCACAATATAGGGGCCTTAATAATCAGAATAGGCTCTGGGGGCCTATTATACTATAACTGTAGTAAGGAACCCCCAAAATAATAGTATTTGTAAGTATATTTAGGCCCCTATAAAAAATGCAATCCTAAAAGCCTCAGCTCAACATTTTCGCTACAATGCCAGTCGGACAGAGGGTAACTGGAACAGGGTGGCAGCTACCCCAAACCCTAAACCCCAAGACCCTGCAGCCTAATTAAACCCTTTACAACCCTAACCCTAAACCCTAAACCTTAGAACTCTAAAACCCTATGTAACCCCTGTGACCCCTTAGCAAGCATTTGCGCCCGCAAGGATGGTGTCAGATGCAAGGCTGGTCCAAGGCATGGTGCTGAGGCTCGCGAGGGAGTCTGGCAGCACTGGTCATGAACCCCCAAAAATCCTGAAACCCTAATCTAAAACCCTAAAAATCCCTAAAAAAACCTAGAAGGCCCTACATGCGCAAGACCGAGGCTCATGCTGGTTAAGCAGCACCCGCAGCTGCGTGGTTTTGCCGCAACCTCGGAGAAGTACGAGGGATCGTCTGCGGCTAAGGTCCTCTCAGGCTTTAGGATTTAGGTCCAGGGCAAGCAGAGTTTGGCTATGTCTGGGAAACTGAAGACACTCCGCTTTCCGGGTGGAGTGCCTCTTCTCGGAACCATGTCATGTCTGCAGGAGACGCTTCATTACACGACTTCTGCCCTGCCACCACAGCTGGCAAATTCGAAGTCCCGTACCTGAACCATATGCACACACGTGTGAGCAAAGAAGTCATGAAACAAACCACCACGTGCATGAGCGTTATGTGCAAAAAACGCGCCATGAACGAGACCTGATTCAACAGTCTGAGCATCGCAAGCCCAAGCTTCCGTTTCTAACACTCCGAACTTCCGAAAGAACCTCCCGTCCATACATCTCAGCAGACCACTCCCCTACGGAACCTCAAACCCAGTGACAGAGATGCTCCACCTGCCATCACCAGACTAACCTACGGGCCCTAATTTGTGGCATATTATACTGTGCTTAGAGTACAACTACAGGAAGGAGGCCCAAAAAGCGACCCCTGTTTTGCATGCAACCCCATAATCCAAGTCAACAACCCTTGTCCTTAACTCCCGATAAAATCCAGGACCTCTGGGGATGAGGGTTTAGAGTTTAGGGTAGAACATATTCCTCAAAGCCCACGGCTGCAAGTGCTCCCAATTCGACAGAATTTTGTGATGCACTCAGTGTTTGGGGTGTAGCTTTTGCGGTTTGGGGCTCAGGGCTCTATACTACTCAGCCAAACAGCGACCTCTGCGCGAAGCCGGACCAGTAGAATTGAGCCCTCTGGGCCCCCGGGCCGTTGGCGCCGACCAGTGCCAACTTCTCTCCCGTCTTCACCGTCCATGAGGCCTCGGACATTCCACGAAATGGGTTGATTGGTTAGTTTCGGGCTTGAGGCGGAAATCGGGGGCTTTAAGTCCGATGACATCATATCGCGCCCTGAATAACCAGGATAGCGCTTCGGGCCACATGTACAAAAAGCCTCCACGACTAAATTCTTAAGGCGACAACGTCGACCTCCAGGGTACAAAAATATCGATTTAGAGTTCAGGGTTGCGGTCCGTTCTCATTGCGCTCTGGAGTCCATTGGTTCATACAAGGGCTTGCTTTGAAGCCGCTCTGCCGACCAGCTTCGGGCGGTCACCGCGTCAATTTCAAGTTCAGTGATTTTAGGCGACATGCTTGCAACATGTCGTGAGGACATAGCAGCCAACCAGCCCAAACTCTGGAAACGGAACCCTTTACCCCAAAGGAAAGGACTCGAGCGTATTCGTGTGTAGGGGTTCTTCAGGACCTGTGTTCGCTTTGGTAGGTAACAATATAAACGCCTGAACACCATGCCTTAGGATTCTAGTTGCAAGTATACCATAGCATATCCCAGAAACCCTATTTTACACACGCCCCTATGTTTGCAGGATTATTGTAAGTGTTACTATTCATTTGTATTAATGCAGGCACCTGATTAAGAAACCCTGGGCCTATAACCCCGGGATAGTAGGATTCATATAAGGAACCCTGATAAAGGCACAATGTTTCTTAATAAGGTTCCTACATTACACTTTTACCATATCTCCATCCTCTTCGCTTTTGGAGTTGCGTCTTGAGGACTTGGGGCCGGCAGCTCGGCAGTACAGGAGCCCCAGGAATGAGAATAATGAAGGCCATTGTAACAGTAATTATCGCATGCAGAATAACAGAGACACAACCGCCAAGAAAGGAAAGGTCACGAGAGCTGGGTTTCCGAGTAGGTTCTGAGAGACATGAATAACACAGCTTCTATTCGAGGAATGACGCAATGACCACTATTGCCCGGCATAGTCTGTCATGAGTCAAAAACGAAAATGCAGACACATGGTTATATAGTGATAGTTGCTGAGGCGAGAGCATGCACTTTGGATCAAAGTAAGGTGTAGGCGTCTGCTGCTAAGCTCCTACATATCCTTGAAGCGCATGCGGGACCAGGAGCCTATTAGTACTTCACCAGATGTTCAACCCTGAACGCCATGAAGCTGCCTGGGGCCTATGGCTCTGTTACCAATTCAAAGGTAGGTTACGAACCATATATTATGCACCAAAACCAATCCATGATTCATGCAACTGGATCCCTAAGACTCTGGACCCCTAAGACTGCTTGCTGGGAGAGGTACGTCTTGAAGCACCTGACGACCACCAAGGCGAATTGCGACCTGGCAGTTCCGAACAAGCTTATTTGCTGAGTTCAGAAGCCCTACAAGCTGTAAACTTTCAGATCTTCAGATGGTAGTGTTGTCCCAGAAAGTGTAAAGTGTACTCATGCAGCTACTGAGGAAGAAGACAGAGGAATGATCCTCCTCTTCCCCATCTTCATCTCATCTTCACGTGAGGAATCGGGCGTCAAGCTCATGTAAAAATTGTTGAAGGGCCAAGATTTGCTCCAACCCTAAAGCTGTACCCTTAAAGGAGCCCTCAGGACCTTGGGACTTCAGACATTAATTTGCCGAGTGTGGCCCGGCTCAGGGGTCATAGTTTCACGCCGACGCATGCATCCGTCGGGATGGCCAACGAAATCTAAGCACCCAAATCCCTAGCCTCGCGGATGCCCACTGTCACTTCACCTGGCACAAGCACTTTCACGGCGATGCGAACTGCAACACAAACCAGCACTACATGGGGCACGAAAACATGTCTGTGCATACAAAACCGTGAATCAATTCCAAACCAGCAACGGCACAAAGCTCCTCTAAAACTGCAGTCGTCTGCGGCTGGGAGTGTTGCTGCCGCTGGCAGGCCAACTCATACCCTACAAAAGGTTCATACCCTACAAAAGGCTCACTTACTCCCCTCGCTCCCCCGATCACTTACGCACAACCACGCATCCACATGTGCACATATATAAATATGCACATGTATCTGTATATGCACTAACTCTGTACACATGTGTAGCTGTTGATATTGATTGTATTTCGTAGCTTCTGTCTGCACGGCCACCGGCATGCACTCGCATGCCCAGTCATCATTCATACACACACACACACACACATCGACAACTGTCCAATTACCTACACCCTGGAACGCGGTAAACCCACCAGGAAGGCAGCTACTGGTAGCAACATCGAACACAGAGTAAGTTAACCTTACAACACCCGAACTTGAAACCCTGATCGAGTTCAGGGAAACGCTCCAAGAGCAGAAGCGGAACCTGCTTCGAGGTCTGAATTAGTCTAGAAATGCAATACGTACCCTTGGGCTCTTTGTAGTCTTCGGGATTGTCCCTTCTCGTGTGCTGTCTCTGGAAGCCCGCACCTTCGACGTCTCCTTTTTGCAAGAAGCTCCAATCGACCTGTCAGTCAAGGTACTGCCGCCCTCAGGGTCCACCGCCAGAGCATATACATGACATGGGTACGTGAAACTCCCGGCCTGTTGACCGCAGGAGTACAAATCCCTGATGCATGCATCATCCCCAGACGCCCTGGCCCCGACACTAAAATGCTAAAACGTGAAACTTACTGAACGCTGTTTACTTTTAGGGTCGCCGGTGCAGGTAGGATTACAAAAACGATAGCCTGAATTTACGGTATGTATAATCCCAGACCAACCAGCTTTGCCTCCCCAAGCACGCCTGCCAAGACCCGCAGAACTCAAAATCCCAAATCTGCCCCGTACCCCTTTAACGCCTGTGTCCTACTTGGAGGATCATGGGACTTAGTAAGTAAGGTCATAAGTACCTTAATTGGGGTTATAAGTACAGTTACCCTAATTATAACCCTAGTTACTAAGTCCCATGATCCTTTAAGTAAAGGCAGGGTTTAGGATTTAGGGTTTAGGGGTTTAGGGGTTTAGGGTTTAGGCCTAGCAAGGCAGCTAAGGCCTTTCTTCCCCGCATGGCTGTGCCTGGTCATCAGCACCTCGTTTCCCTCGGCTCTACAGGGTAGGCTTTAGGCAATTCTATCGTGGAAAATAGGGGCCTTACTAATTAGAATAGGGTTTGGGGGAATATTATATTATATATCGTGGAATATAGGGGCCAATAGTTAGAATAGTAGGGTGTTGGGGAATATTAGAGTAGAGCTCTAATACGGAACCCCAAAACAGTATAGGTAATTATTTAGGTTCCTACATTAGAGCTTACAACGGTTCTCGGGGGGCTTTGTGAGTTTTTGGTAGGGTCCCTGCAGTGGCTTCTAACGGTTTTAAAGGTGTGATGAGGATCAACGGGTCTTGGGCATAAGGACGCTGAAAGAAAACAGTTCAAGGGTTTTCTATCTCTACCCATGTCATACGCTACCGGGTTTGGCCATGCATTGGAGACTTACCTGTACATGTCTGTATGTATATTTGATGAGTATATATAGGTGTATGTGTGTGTATATATATATATATATACACATACATATTTCCACATGTGTGCGTGTGCGCGTCGAGCCCGTGAGCAGCGCAAAGCTAAGCAGGGTTATTCTATACGATTTGAGATGTACTGCCCCAGGCCTATCGGGTCAACTTTGCAGGGGTTTAGGCTTTCGTACGGTTAAGGGTATTTCATCGGACAAACCAAAAATGATTGAACAGATCTGGCCCAACCCGGCTCTCTTGCGACTTCGTATTGGTATCTACTTCGTCATTATAGTTTAGTGCCTTAACAATTAGAACCGTACTCCTCAGGGTTCTAAAGATAAGTATAGCATTGCACGGCATACCCCAAAACAGTGTTCTGAATCAAAAGATCACGACATAAACGAGTCTACACAAATACATATAATACAGAGAGAGTGCGTCGGAATACAGGCCCGTGTTTTGAGAGCAAAACAAGCGATCTTTGAATACATTCGTACGATTTTATGGAATAGCGTCTTACCTCCAGCTATAAACCTCAAAGAATGATCACTCGATCCTCCATAAGTTTGTCTCAACTAGTATACGGAATGGTAGTTGATAAGAACGTTTATGCAGTAGAGATTTCGGTTTCTACTATCAAATCACCCGTAAAGAATGTTCGGTGTGCTTTGCAACCTCTTTTTGAAGCCTGACATCCATTATGTCTTTCCATGGTTTGCCATGTTTCTTAAGATGACAGGCATCATGCTCTAGTAGCTGGGATTGAAACACAGCCTTTCTGCTTTACCGTGTTAGCTCCACACCATTCTCTCATTGACTTTCTGATTTTGGATTTTCCACCCATGTTCACTTGCTGAATGTTGAAATGCTTCTGGCCTTGTGGAGCTTATCAGCTTGCCGTGTTAGCCACCAATAGTCTGGTGCAAAGGATGAGAAGATTCGAAATACAACGCATCATCTCGGATCAGACAGGTGATGCTTTGGTGATGCTTTGGAATCATTCCTTTTCGGGATGATGGATAGGAAACCACTATCTTTTTTGAGTGTATTTAGCGCCCACTCACGATATTGCTTGAAATCCCTTATTTCCTCATGTGGCTTAAGTGTAAGATTCAACACATCTTTTTTTTGTGTTTGAGTTAATTGAAAAACATGCGGGCCTTTCATTTCTCATTTTGCAATTTCTCTTCCCCAGTCACTCCCCCAGTATAGTACAATATGCTCCTTGGTACCAGTCTTCCGAACTACTTATGTCACTGATCGCCATGTCCTATCGATGTCTGTCTGGCATCCGTCATCCTTAACCCTAATGATGAAAGGACTGACCACATACCTACTGTTCTAAGTCACATCCTGCTTAGGTCGTGGTTTCAGGGGGTGGAGTAGTCCCTTAGAGGATGTGGGAGATGTCACCTGTCTGCTCCAGTTGTCTGAAAGACTGGTTCTGTTATTATCATCTAGTTTCAGGGGTTTAAAAGTACTTTGGTGATTCAATGATTCGTTTCTAAAACACCCCTGGAGTTGAAAATTTCATTTGCCTTTGAGGGCGCGCAAGAAGGCTCCTCGGCAGTGGGAAGTAAGAGAGCTCTTTCAACCTTTTCAACATGAAACACGACTAAACGCGGGCTGGCTGTCTTGATGCGTATCAATCAGAAGGCAGAGGCTCCTTATCCTTGTAAAACAAAGCAAGATGGCACTTTTATGGAAGAAACCTCCGCTTTGTCGATGACAGCTGTTTAAAAAGAACCATGTACATAACAATCGCTGTCTGTTTTTGAGGATACAAGACGAAACAAAGGAAATTGGGGCCATCCTCATACTTAGCGTAATACAAACTCCTACTGCTCCAAAAGCGAAACACACGATGGCACCTCTGTTTGTTGAAGACTGAAGAAAGATGCTTTTCACGTCTAAACCACAGCCATAGACAGGGGGACCGGTATCGTTTTGTCAGGATACGAGGGAGGTGGCTTCAAATCAAAGTTGATGAAGGTCTCAGGCCTTTTGCTCTTTTAGTAAGCCGGTAAACAAACTTCTCGTCGCCTGTTGATCAGATCTAGGGACTGTCGCTTGAAGATTGAAGAGAGCTATTCGCTTTTGTGCTACGTTCTATTACAGCTATCAGAGAAACAGCCATGGACATAGCGATCGGTATCTTCTCCAGGGTATAGGGCCGCATCAATAGAAGTTAAGTGAATGCAAACTCCCGTCTCATAAGACTGAGCATACGAAGTCCCCCGTTGTCCTTTAATGATAGCAAAATGCAAACAATTTCCTACAGTCTTCAGTATGAAATGAAATAAGTTCTGAATAGGCTTGCGCTGCTCTAGCACTTCGGTGGCATTCATTATTACGTTTTTGGATCTGTAGGCTGTGGAGCTTGTCGAAGAGGGGCCTAAGCCATTCTCGAGAAAGCTCCATAGATCCACCAGCGTCCTAAAACATACATGAAACAGAACCTGTACCCGCTAAGGTCGGCTTTCTTCAAACATATCAGGCAACAGTACTGAAAACCCCTGCTGTTCTAGAAAACACATAGGATAGCATTTCTAATCCTTGAAAGCTGGTGAGAGGCTTCGTTTATCCTGTGATACGGTGTATCCTCTCGTGGACATCACATCTCTGTAATGCTCAGAACATGCCAACGTTTCGAGCCTGAAACTCACGAAACACTGTAACGCTCCAAAGAATCCAAAACCTCCAAAACCCTGTCATCTATGGCCAAGTCGAGGGGAGATTCTTCCAAAATGTTGGGTATTTTTTAGCATTGCAGTGGTTCGTGAATTTATGCCTGGAAATGTTGGACTTTTTTGAGCATTACAGCGTTACGTGGCCTAAACCTCATAAAACCCTGTAATGATCAAAAAACAAACTTCTTTAATCCTCAAAGCACACGAAACAGCCTAAACCTCACAAAACACCGTACTGTTCCCAAAAAAGCAACTTTTCCAAACCTCACAACTCTAAGAATTTGAAGGAATCGCCTGGCCTCGACGGATTCTGCTCTATGACGAACAGCCCAACCGTCAGATTTATGGTTTGTAATTGGGGTCCACAATTTCTGGACCCCCAGACCCTTTCAGGCAGAGACGGGCATTAAAAAATGCATGTCAACAACGGGTACTGCAGGGGCTGTAATACGTAGAACAGAGTTTTGGCGTTTATTATACCACACCTACATTGAGTAACCCCCAAAACAATATAGGTAATCATTTAGGCCCCTACATTGCTCCTTAAGCTACGAAGTGCTCGAGCGATGTTCGACTCCTATGGTAAACCACCCACAAAGTTGGAAACCGGATTCAGTACACATAGTGCTGGGATTCCCTAAACATTACTTAATGGATCATAGGACTTGGTAACTAGGGTTATAATTCATGTAACCATACTTGTAACCCCAATTAAGGTACTTATAAGCTTACTCACTAAGTCCCATGATCCTCCAAGTACTCTCAAGGATGAGGCTACTGGGTTTTCAATTTTTGGGCCTTTACGTACACAGCAGTGAGAAAGATGCCCTGGCCAAGCTGCGCTTGATCATGACCGGCTCTTCA